TCTGTTGTTAGCAGAAGTGTGCTGCCAGTCTGGCTTTTGCAGGGTATTTCAGACCTTCCCTTGGGAGCACACTCACTTCCAAGATTAAAACTTCTTGTCTCAACTAGGGTCATAAAATTGACCAGGGCTTTTATTTTTCCTGCTACCAGGAAGAACTAGAACGTGGATAGCTTTATGATACACCTGGGTTTTTCAGTCATTTTAATTCTTCTTTCTTCTCTCTGTTAGCATCTTCTGAAATATTCCCCAGTGGCTTTTTTTCTCTACCTCAAATATTCCTCCATTTCTGCATCAGCTGCTGTGTGCTGTTCTCTTTTCATGAATCTCGTTGCTCTCTGCATGTAAGGTCCTGCCTCGTGCTTTGAAAGAAGAGGGAATAACTTCTTTTTTTTCTCCTCTCTGAGCCTCTGGGAGTGCTGTATGAGCTGTCCTTGTGCTGGCTGCTCCACACGAGAGCAGGAGCAACAGAGAAGATGCCATTCATCCTTCTTCCCTGGGAGGCCCTACAGGATGGTTTTGTTCTCTATGTGCGGTGATCCTTCATGTATTTAGTAAATCTCACTCAGCTGGGACGTCTGTTCCATGGCGATAGAAGAGGCAAAAAAGCCCTGCTGTGGGTTCACCTCTGCTAATAGCAGCCTGCTCCTCTGAAATTAATTTCTAAACCAGACCAATACTATTGAAGGATTAATGTAAGATTAGAGTATTTATATTAAAATACCTTATAATGTGAAAGAAACACGTGTTCTTAGGCTATAACTAGAAGCTCATTTTAGCTGTTCTATTAATTAAAGGTTTTCTTTGCCCAATGGTAATAGAAAGACTGGATTTCATGCAAGTGAGACTAGAGCCTTCTGAATTCCCAAGTGCTTTTTAATTCTACTGTGAACAGTAGTGTGAAGCCCATGCTTCACACTGGTGTTTGTTTGGGCCCTTGTATGGATCATCAGGTCCTTGCTCTGACCATCATGGTGTTTAGCATCTGTCCAAAAATCAACTGTCTCATAGTGGTGACTTCTATAACCCATTAAATTTCAGTACATTATGCTCAAAAGCAGATTGTTTAATCTGGGGAAGTTGTATGAAGTTTCCCTTCAGGAGGCGCTAACATCGTGACTAGTGGCCTGATGTTGTTTGAAGTGTAATCTAAACTGTTCATACATGTCTACATGTTTATACAGACAGTCACAAAATATATCAGCAAATACACACTGTGCATTTACTGTGATTTTTCTTTCATTGACAACTGTAACTTATGGCCAAACTCCAAAGTAAATTTTTACTCACACACATCGATATAGATGATATGGATTTAGATATAGATATAATTTGTATGGGGTTTGATTATTTTGTAAAGATGTAAAACATCTTCTCAGTGATATGCCAGTGTATTCTGCTTGGCTAGCCTTTAGGCACTGAGGCTGTCTGTGACAGCACTTTGAATAATCAGTGATGGAAGTCCGTTGAAATGAAGCCAGTAAGTCTGTGATGAGTTTGCTTTGTCAAACAGGGTAACAGAAGTTATTACTTAATTATTTGCTGAGCATTTCTTACAGTGGGTAGCTGTGAAGTTTAACATAGCTGCATAAGCACAAGCATGGGTGACACATGGGCGTTACTTACACCAATGAGAACAAGTGCATGCCTGTATTCAGAGTGACTCAGGCATGTTCAAGTATATAGCTGACTTGATGCTTTTTTACTGACCAGTGGAGAAAGGAGAGACTGAAGGCCATCCCCAGTTTCATATTTTTATGAACTGCTTCTTGTCTTTATGAGGTGACGACTCAGCCATTCCTAGTGTGATTGAACACTGTATTAGGCACTGAGAGCTCTGAAATGCTGCTATATTTAATCCATAAATGTCAACATTTGAAAACAATTTCCTAAGATAATTTTTATAATTTTCCAACTGAAATGAGTGTGCACGACCTATGTATTTTTACTTGTGTCATTATTCTAGAGACATGACTTCCTTTTCCCTGAAAGAAAAATTTGCACCATGACTGCTAGGCAGCATCCACTGGTCCTAGCGTTGTAACGTGTTATCTGGACAGTGCCCAGGATCAGGTGGAAGAAATTTAAGGTCTTGCAGCCTCAGATTGGTTAAAGGGGTGATGGAGAGTCACTAACAGAAGGTTAAACAGAAAGTTGTTAACTGTGAATACAGCAGAGATGGCTTCACTCTTAGTTATTAGTGTCTGGGAAACTAAATATGTGTTAAGCTGCTGTTAAAGGTTGTCTGTTAGATGAAGAAGCCATTCAGTTGATAACACAAGAAGGCAACACTCTGAAAGATGCACAAACCAGAAGCAAATTAATCAGGATAGTATAAACAGATGCAGAAGTCAGGTAGTCACAAAGAGGAGCAGCAACAGCCCGGCAAAAGTTTCTCACCCAGTCTGCATAAGGGAAACTGCGGATGTTATCCAAAGACGTGCTGTTCTCATTTCCCTGCATTTGCTTTGTACTCCTGTTTATTGCACATCAAACACATTTACATATCCAGGGATGAAATGGAAATGATTGATGCAAAGGAGGTATTTTTGTTAATTGCTGTTGCTCTGAGTCATGCCTGACTGGGACTGCTGGAGATGGGTGAGGAAAGACAGAACTATTATTAGAGGTATAAATAATTGTCAAGAGTAACTTTTAAACCCATCTGTTACCACATATCAACATCCAAAATTATCCAAAGGGAGGGGCAGCAATACAAGGACTAAGCCAATGCCATGTCTCTGTCACTGTAGATGCTGGCAAATGCCTCTGAATCTTTGTCCTTTCTTTTTCATTTATGCTCCCTCAGAGCTTCAGTCACAACCCTTTCAGTCCCTGCTGGATGTTGCAACAACAGTGTCTTGCGCTGAGCTGATGGGTGTTTGAAAGTTGGGCTGCTTTATGTGCACAACACTAGTGAAACGTGTCCACTTTTTGTCCTCTTATTTGGAAAGCAGTTTTTAATGTGCTCTCATACATGAGAAGTAGAGCCAAGATGAGATGAACATCCAATCTGAGAAGGGAAAGCTGTGCTTGAAGTGCTTAAAGACAGTGCTTTTCAGAGTGGAACTGTACTGCAGAGCACACAGGAGGATTTTGGGTATTTCCTGCTCTGCAGGAATAGAAGAGGGATTTTAGAAATACCTGTCTGTGAAAGGTTGTGTGATCCTTGGGTTCACTGTTGTTGTGGGCTGTGTAAGCAACTGAAGTGGATCAAAACAGCTGAAGTGCAGTTTGGCCATGTGTGAGCAGCAGCCAGAGACCCCAAGCTCCAAATTATTTTGGGAATATCACCCTTCAGAGTATCATCTGATGCTAACACAAATCATGGCTTCCAATGCAAGTGATAATGAAATCCATGGCACTCCCTAGTTTATATCCTTCCACCTGTAAGCCTTCTGCTGTGAAATAATTCTTGAAACAGCTGTTTCCGTTAGATAGTAGTTCAAGAAATGACCCTGCAGCAGAACATAGTAGTAGTTTGTAGTTTGGCCTCATAACTTTATTCCAGCAAATACATTATAGATCCTGTAGGTGGAGAACTCAGAATGAATAAGGAGAAAGCATTCAGCCTTGTTTCCTCTTGCTTTATCTGCACTGGGGAATATATCTGCATTTTTAGGAATATGTGGGGGAATACCTATTTTTATGACAAACCTGAGGTATATGGAGAAGTTATGAAAAATCTGTAGTAGCAGAAAATGGGCAATATCTGAAAAAGAAGGGTTATTGTCTTGGAGATTGTTAACAATTTTGCGATTTTTCATTTAACTGGAGTTAGCCCTTGTATGAGATGGCCCTCATAAAGTGTTAGTTTGTTCACAAGGTAACTTGTCTTCCTCAAGCTTGCCCCTTCTCTAGGCTCAAGAAAGATTACTGAGATCAGACTTTTCTTAAGAAATCTTAGGACTCATGATTTATTAATGTATTGTTTGCAGTCAGATGAGTCATGCAAACTCACAAGCCTATTTTTGTACCAGACTGTGTGTTATTTTTAGTAATGAATCTTCTGCTGGTTATTCTAGCTGACAGAAACCATAAGTATTTTGGTTTTGCTTTATCTTTATGTTATCACCCTGTAATTCAGGTGAGTTGTTATTGAATAAAACATTTCTCAGTAAAAAACCTCAATCTGTGAAAGCCTGCTTGAAGCATACTCCATTGCAGTTCATTTCAGATTTCCATAAATAGATGTGCAAACTGAATTCAATAGCTAGAAGATGAACTGACAATATGAGTTCTGCAGTTATTTGCTCTATTTCAAATCAATATTTCTTGGTGTCTTTTTTGTATTTGTGATGGATGAGGTTGAATAATGATAATCTTTATATCAACAAATGCTTTTGTACTACACGATTATAACTAATTTGTCAAGCACTTGTCTAAAATTAAGTCATATGAATTGATTTTGGGTCTCTCATTATCTTCACACCAACCCGTTTAATAATAGTGTTCTTCTTGAGTAGGTGGCTCATGCCAGTCTTCCACGTGGTGTTATTTTTAGCACTTGCAGCATCCCCATGAAATTGCTTGTGCTTCTCTTATATTCTGACCGAGCGCTATATGGATTATCATCTTGTACATCTTGTGAGACATGCATGTCTCAGTTTGGAAGAGAAGTGGCAAGATTATATAAATCTCCTTTCTCACTGTTTCTGATATGACTGAGGACAGCTTTTCAAAGTAGAGGGGAGTACACTCCAGTTAATTGGCTTCTACATGAAGTAACTACCGCTGAACAGCTGATAGGTCAAAGTCATCCCATTTCTCTGATAGCTGCTTATTTCCTTTCATCTCTCTCTTTCTCCCAATTTACATTGTATTTTATTCACATCATTTATGAAGCTTTAAACTTTTTACTGTCTCTGAAGTACTCATTTAAAGTGCCTACATTACACTGGAAAAAGTGAAGGGGGTGGTGGCGGTGACTGGTAATCATTTTATTGGAGAATAAAAATTGAAATCCACCAAATCTTAAAACTGTGTTTAATGATATGTTTCAGGAACTTCTATTACATCACAATGCTGAGGGATCCAGTGTCACGGTACTTGAGTGAATGGAAGCATGTCCAGAGGGGTGCAACATGGAAAACTTCCCTTCATATGTGCGATGGAAGAAGCCCAACACCAGATGAACTGCCTACCTGTTACGAAGGAGACGACTGGTCTGGAGTCAGCTTGCAGGAATTCATGGACTGCAGCTACAACTTGGCCAACAACCGTCAGGTGCGCATGCTGGCAGACCTCAGCCTGGTGGGATGCTACAACTTGACTTTTATGAATGAGAGTGAAAGAAATATGATTCTTCTCCAAAGCGCCAAGAACAATCTGAAAAATATGGCCTTCTTCGGACTCACAGAATTTCAGAGGAAAACGCAGTATCTCTTTGAGAGGACATTCAACCTGAAATTCATTTCCCCATTCACCCAATTCAATGTTACACGGGCCTCCAATGTGGACATTGGTGAGGATGTGCGGCAACGGATAGAGGAGCTGAATTTCTTGGATGTGCAGCTGTATGAATACGCGAGGGACCTGTTCCTACAGCGCTTCCAGTACTCCAAGCAAGAGGAACATCAGAAGAACCGGTTAAAGAGGAGAGAGGAGCGGCGGCTGCTGCGGGAGCAGAGAGCTCACCAGTGGCCAAGGGAAGAGGCAGCAGAAGTAGCTGTTACTGAAGATTATAATAGTCAGGTTGCAAGGTGGTGATGTTCCTTCGTCTTGACTAACTGATGAGAGGATCAGAGAGTTTGTGCAATTTGACTACCTGGGAATTAGCCAAGGAAGGCCTACTGCTTTGGTAAATGAGACCACATCTAACAACTACCCCTCCTTCTCTGAGTTTTTCCTGGTTTCTGCCAGTGAGGAGAATGTATTTTTTTCTCAATAGGCATTGATTAGTGTTACTAAATGGCAGTAGAATAGATTGCTGTCCAAAAAGACTTTCGTCAAAGCGCTAAGCTATGAAGATGGGTTGAAGAGTGATCTATATATATCCTTTGCATTAACAAATGTACCCTATACAACCGAGCTACCAAAACTTGTGCAAACATGAATGAAAAATCAGGAAAAAAACCCTGGTTTGGTTTCTCTGTGGCATGAGAGCTGGTTTACTTCATACTGTCTTTTGCAACTGTAGTGCATAGCTTTCTAGTGAATGAAATGGAGGAAAGCACATTGCCCTTCAAACTTCTACGTGCCGTGTTTTGATTAAGGGAAGAATTTCCTGAGGTGATTAAAAAAGACTTAGGAAATGTAGCTTTGGAGCATCACTTGTTCTCTTCTACTAGCCAGCAATCAGAGGTGATTTATAAATGAAGTGATGAAGGGGTTAGCTTATTTCTCTGCAGATGTTGAGAGTACTGAACCCAGACAGGTAGCAGCCATCTTGCTGAGTGCGTGTGGCAAAGGGAAAGCCTTGAGAAATGAGGTCCACGGCAGCAGCTGGGCACATGTCGTGGAGATTATCTGGCTGGAGGCAATAAAATCAGCCTTCACATTCACAAAAAGGTGAAGAGGGGCCAAGTAAACTTATGGGGAAGAGGAAAGAGAGCAGGAAAAGCTTAAATATTAGTGTGACATTTTCCAGATTTGCTGTAAAAGCCTGGAGATATATTGTCTGTGAAGGTAGGCAGGTTTATGATATTGTCTGTTAAAATACATTGATGCCAAGTGAATACAATTTAAATTGGTTTTCTCTTTAACCACAGTAGTGTCTAGAAAAAAAATCAGCATTCATTTTTATAGGATACATAATGGATATGTGGAAAGCCTTGATATTTATTATTCTGTATGAAGATTCTTTGTAAATTTATTGTTTTCATGATGAGAGATCTGTATCTGTTTTTCTTCCTTGTCTAGAAAAAGATTCAATTCTTCCTCTACATACTACATTCTTGTGGCTAAACTGCATCTATTTATTCCAAGATTTTATGTTGTTCCATTCGTAATAGTGAAATTTTAAAAAGAGGGTCCTGTGCACCATAGATCTTTTGAAAGAGTTTTTTTCCTTCTTCTTCTTCTAGAATAAATGTAAAGCATTAGGAGGAAATTTCTCTAAGTGCCTCAACATGGCTGCTAAATCGAGATGCTGAAAGTATATTATTGCATGCATGAATGGCTTTTACCTTACAGATTTGCTAATTAGAAATACCAGAGTACCTGATGTGGATGCACATTTCTCATTTATTTTCAAAATTCAAGGGTTTTATCCAGTTGATTTAAAAAAAAAAAAAAAAAAAGAGGCTGAATTTGAATATTTGTCCCTTCATTTTCAAGTCTTTTTTTATTTAGTGCATGCTGTATCTTCTTTTCTTCCAACAATGCTATTGCTACTTATCTATGCACAATATCAAAAATATGTTCTAATGATCCTGTTGAGAGTTAATGCATACAATTATACATTAAACGTGGAATATCATAACGGCTATTAAGAAGAGAAGAGGGCTACCAGGATGATGCCTCATTATCCATGTAGTTTATTAGCAATATGCTGCTTTATGCCTGATTGTCAGTGTGTGACTTTTGGGGTGAGTAGCAGTGGTTTTTGGTCCCTAATAGCTGTTCGACTGGTGGATCATTTGCATCTCCTCCCATCTCCAAGTTTAGAATGGAAAACGCAAGACTGCAAATTGTTATTCTTCTTCCTGAGCATGGTATGTCTGCCTTAGAGAAGAGTGAGGAGCTCTCTAGACGCCCTGGACAGTACTGCTTGGATCCCCATCGCCTGGAAGAGACAGTCAGACACCTCACTTGTGTATGGACACCTGCCTTCAGAGATTTAAATTGAAATGTTTACAGCCTAGGACTGAAGCTTGCTCTGGGTGTACTGGCTGCAGGACAGCGAGGCCACGAAGAGCTAAGCCTGATCATTATTATTGCACCTTTAGCACAGTACAGGTAATTCACAGTGCTCTGACGTCTTACCCACTGGCACTGGGGTTTCAGGCTGGGCTGGCCCTGGCCCTGTGGAGGGAAGGAGCTTTCTGGCTGGTGATGCAGGGATGATGGGGAGCTGTTGCATCTCCCCATTCCTGGGCCCGTTGCTGCATCTTGCTGCATACACCACAACAAGAGAGGGGAAGGATGCCTTTGGCACCTAATATTCTATGTCCAGGGTTTGCAGGTGTGCTCCTTGTTTCCATGAACACAGGGGGCTATCTATGGGTGCTGGGGGGACCCCAAAGTCCCCCCTGGCAAAGGCAGAGACAAGGTGGGCAGTGGTGTGTGAGGTGTGTGGTAGAGGCAGGGCTGGCAGGCAGGGCATGGGGGCTTGGCAAGAGGCAGGGCTGCGCAGGAGAGAAGCCAGCCACGTGGGAGGGAAGATGCAAGGCCAAATTCACATTAAGGAAGAAGACAGTAGAGGAAGTAGAATCAGTCCCAGACCATCTTTTGTTGTAAAGCATCCCTTCTTTTTCCTCTTAAGCACAAAAAAGGGGTCTTCTTCCTCACGTCCCTGCCACTTTCCCCAGCAGGCCACCTCTGTGTGCCACTCACTCTAATGGGGGACTCGTTTTTCATTTAGAAAATGTAGTGCTGTCTTTTGGGGGGAGAGGAGACAGAGCTCAGAAATGGTTCCCTGGAGCCTCACCAGTGATGGTTAAGTATCAGTTTCAGCTGTCTAAGTACACCAACCATTTTCCAGACTATTCCTTCTGCCTGACACAAAACAAAGCCTAATGAGGAAAATCGAAGCAGTCTTTGGGCAGTTTACATTAACTTTAATAGTTTGACAATACCTTAATGCCGTCCCAAACCTTTTCCTCAGTCATCTCCCAGGAGGACAAGATTTGGGTCCTGAAGAGCTGTTATTGTGCTGTAGCATCTATGTTATAGGGATTTGCCTTAACGCTTGGGATTTAGTTAAAAATGAAGTTGTTTTATTGGTTGGTTTTTGTGGTTTGGTGTGGTTTTTTTTTGTTTTTGGTGGTTTTTTTGTTTGTTTGTTTGTTTTGTTTGTTTGTTTTTTATTTTTCCTTGGAGCCCATATAGATAACCCTGATTGTGAAGGAGTAGTTTCAGGGGGGCAGCTGGGATCTTGTCCAGACCCGCTGGGACTGAAGGACCCAGCACCTCCTTCCCCAGCTCCAGCAGCAGATCCAGCAAACTCACTGTCCCAACAATACTGTTTTTCTTAGCAGAACTTCCTGGCACATGACAAATAAAGCAGTTCAGAAATACTTCCAGGCTTACTTCTAAGACACAGGCTTGCAGCTTTTCTCATCCTGGGCGCTGCACCTGAAATGTAATGCAAAAGCAAAATAAAGGCCCTGGTTCATATCTCTGTTATCCCAGGTTCTCTGACAGCACGGACTTACTGTAATTACACAGGCTCATATAAGATCAGAGCATAGCATGTTTCTTTCAAAACCTTCATAAGCAACAATGCTATAGGATTTCTGTCCATCTTCCTGGCATTATTTTGTTGCTTAAACAAGGCAGTTTGGCTTCTGCTGCTGTGGTGCTGAAATAGATCTCATTCTTTTGTAATGGAGATGTACTTGCTAATCTCTCCAATCACATCCTCAGCACTAGCTGCCTTCTCCAGTAATACTTCACTGTAGGCTTGGAGCAGATAGAGAAACATGCTGTGTGTGTCATTAAAACTTGTTCCTGGTAGTTCAGTGTCTAGTCAAAAAACTCAACCTAGTGCCTATGGGCTATACTTTATTAGGAAATGAAAATTTGTCCCCTCTTCCCCGCTCATCAGCGCTAATAAAAAGCTTTTTCACCATGGGGAAAGAAAAAAAAATATCACCATTTCTGATGTTGGGCGTTCTTTACTGCAGTTGTGTTAATGAGACTGCAATTCTACTATACGTACTTATTTGCAGTTCACTAAAGACAGAAGTACAGAACAAAAAAGTGGTGGAAGTCAGATTCAGAGCCAAACTTCTTAACTGCAACATATCCATTCAACCAATGCAAATGGCAGGTCACATCACCTTTGCATCTGGAGATATTTTAGATTTGAGGTCCGCTGCTGAACTGAGAGGTTTCTCAAATTGCCCTTCTTGTTAACACATGCTTCCTTCTGCACTAGTGGTTTTTTGTTTCTCACCTGCAGTCTTATATCAGTTATGAGCACAAGTGTTATAAAACTTACGTCACTGACACTTTTTTTCCCTTCTGTTGCTGTTCCTCTGATATATGTGGAATTACTGGGTTTTTTTGCCTGGGATAAGGAATATCTTCTTTCCAGCCTGGTGGAGACTATCCTGTACAAGATGAACAATCACAGTAAAATCATTCTGCTGGAGCAGATTGCTGTACCTCCCTATATGTGGCAGAAGCATACTTGGAAAAGGTACCCAGTTTGCACTGACACACTTCCTTCAGTTTGGTTCTTATAATACTTTCTTTCTTGATATTTTGTGGAAGGAAATGAGTTCCATAGCCTACAACATCCTTGGCTTTCTTCTTGGCCATATCACTAGCTCTGTGATTTCAAATAAATGTTGAAAGTTAAGAAAATAAAAATCAAGAGTTCCCATCAGTTGCCATATTTGAGATGAAAGGGTAAATTAATAGGCTGTAAATTACTTCATTCTTTAGGAATTTTCCTTCTGTTTATGTGCAATAATGTGTGTGAACTCTGCTACTAAGAGATTGTATTGTGAGTAACCATATCTACTTTTATTCCTATTTACAAGATAGTTTGTAGACCTAGGGATTTTCATTGATGTAAAGCACAATTTAATGAATTATTTAATGTGTTTAACCATTGTGATGTCAAAAGCAATTGTTTTCCTATATTTATTTGTTGGTGGTTTTCTGTAAGATGATGTTCATTAAGAAATCTGTTAAAAATGAAGAAATTTTGTTGGATATTGTTGGGTCCATGAATTACTTATGAGCAACAAATAAACATTGTTTGCGTTTTTGAAACACTAAAAGTTCCATCTTATCTACATAGCTATAAAAAATTATTACAAATACTTGTTGGACCATTTTCAAGCATTAATAAAGATCGACCATGATCATAATTATGTTTGTTTAACAAAACGTACATGGAGGAAAATGATATAACTTACTATTTATTTACGTTGGGGCCCAATACTGAATCTTTTAATTCCAATTGACTTTGATAGACTTTATCTCAGATTGAATTAAGACAGGAGAGCCAAGACCTGAATAGTCACCAGCACTACTCCAAGTGACCCCAGTGTCAGAATTACCATACTTGGACTGAGTTAAGATTTAAGTATGCAAATAATGGTAATGAATTCATTAGACTTCATTTCTACTCCAGCATCACTGAGGACCAGTCCGAACTGTCAGGATAATCTCATAAGCTTTTGCAGGGAAGGATGAGAGGCTGCAGTCTGTTGCCTCACTGTTAGCATCATATTTGTGTTGTTATATCTTCTGAGGGCGCATGGACCTTGGGAGGAGCTGATTGCATGTTCAGCCATACTATTTCATGTAAGTGTGTGATACAGTGAACTAGGACTGAGATGGGAGTATGGAGGAGCACAAAGAGACTTAAGTAAGGAGGAAACACTGACCTCTCTTTTACAGAGTAACTGAAGCCCTTTAATAGATCTGATCCTTCCAAGAGTAGTCTAGGTCCCTGTTTGATGACTATTTTATCAGATCAAAACTTTTTCAGATTTCTCAGTTTTCCCAACAACAAGCCTTTCAGTCATGCCACACCCCTGGAGATGAGTCTGGTTAAAAGAGAAGGCCATACTGTGGCAATTTAGGATATAATGACCATGACCAACCCCTTTTTAATCAAAGTTGACTGACCTCTACTAAATGCCATGGAAAGCTATATTAAGGGTAAAAAAAAAAATAGTCTGCATGAGAAATTTTTCTTGGGACACAACAAAGACAACATTAAATGAAGGTAGCAGAAGAGAGGAAGATCTCAAAAGTTCTGGTTAGTTTTGTTCTCTTAATTTTTCTTCATAGCACCTTAGACACACTTAGACACACACAAGTCAATGGAGTAGGATGGGATCCACCCAAGCATACTGAGGGAGACAGTGGAAGTTCTCACCAAGCTACTTTCCATCATTTATCAGCAGTCCTGGCTAACTGGGGATGTCCCAGTTGACTGGGTGAGGTCCATCTACAAGAAGGGCTGGAAGGAGGATCCAGGGGACTACAGGCCTGTCAGCCTGACCTTGTTACTGAGGAATGTTATGAAACAGATCATCCTGAGTGCCATCTGTATTGAGTTTGTGCGGTGGGGTTTTGGTAAGTGGGGGAAGCGGCTCCAGGGGTGGTTCCTGTGCAA